ATTTTATAAAATTCGACTACATTTTTTTTATAGGCGTAGTTGCCGTAACCAACACAGGGTACCCTGCCTGCTCAACTAAAGAAGAGTTTGATTTTTATATTATTCACTTGGATTTGTATTTCTTGCTTTAGACTAGGCACAAGTTTGTGTGGTAAAATATTCATTAATTTTGCTTTCGTGTGTGTTAGAGAGGTGATTTGATTGTATATTACAGTATATTAATATTATTTATAAAAATAAAGCTAGTTTAAAATCACTAAACAGATTAAACAAAATAGGAGATGTAAAACGTTACTTAGTCATTGATAGTATTTAGACCCTGTCTCTTATACACATCTAGATGTGTATAAGAGACAGATATATATGCGCGCGCCCTCCCCAAATATAACATGTAGCCTAGGCTACTCTCGTGACTGAAGTGTGAGCAAGACGAAAGACTGACAAGAAGGAATGATTCCTATCTATACTTTAGGTTAAAATAAATATTCTACGGATGTTAATACACTGGTACGCAGCGCATACATAGCAACGACGACAGGGTCATGTTTAGACAGGGTGTGGAGTTACTATTATATGAAGGTCATAGGCTGCTGTCCTCAGTTTTAATCAAGATTTAATAGGCCTACGACAAATTGATCTCCCTGCTAACAGATGATAAGAATGCTAAACGAAAACATACCATTATAGTAACAATAATCGTAAACACCGCATCGCTGAAAGTGCATAACCTGTTCGGCGATAGGAAGCGATGAAACTGCATCTCAACTACTTTAGCTTCTCGAAGTGGCTCTTCAGGTTCCAAGTTTGACTCTTCGATGTTCTCATTCATTTCAAAGGCAGGGTTTCCCTTTCCTCCTCCGGTGGATACGTCAGTATTGACAGACGTCATGCCCTGTGTTGATTGTCTTCCTTTTCAAAAGACACAGCTGCAAGCATGGACAGTGGGTAACTGCGTTTGAAATGTACGCTTGATTTACAGTTTAATTGATGTAATACGCAGGAAATAAATAAAAAGAGAGGGCGCTGTATAAACGTACATCTCAGAGCTACGCACCGGGGATTAGCAAAAGAGAGACCTACTAACTTTAATACAAGGGCTTTTATCAAAATTAAAATTAATTTTAATTTCCACAGAAAAAAATTAGAGCCTACGCACCGGAAATTAATAGAATTTAGAAAGCTACAATCTTTAGTACAAAGGCTTTTATCAAAATTAAAGTTAATGTCAATTCTTACAAAATTTTAATTTCCTTCAAAAACCTGTTTACAAGTTGTAACGATATAGGTAGGTTCAATGACATCTAATTGTCATTTAAATACCCGGTTTAAACATAAGTGAAATTTTCATATATAAATATTTCAAAATGTTATAACAGTGGTTATGTAATATTGCTTTCATTGTTAAAAGTTAAATGCCCATGGCAGTGGTTTGGGTCACTCCAGGCCTATAGACGACAGGCTAAAGGACGGAGTAATGGACAAGGCAATGGGCAAAGAAGAAGGTTTACTGGTACTTGTGCACTTTTTTCTTCATTTTTTATAAAAACATTTTATAAGAACACTGGGGCTGAAATTTCTTAAAAGTTAATAACAATATAAGAACATAGGCCTATTGAGGCTGCGCTTATTCGAGAGCGGCCCTTATTCGAGCATTTACAGTATTCCGTAGAAAAAAAGTACGTCTACAGCAGTGGTTCCCAACCTGGGGTCCGCTAAGATAATTGGGGGTCCACCAAGTCAGAGGGGTCCGCAGGTGGTTCTCGAAAAAACAGTGGGGTCATGAAAAACGTTGGGGTCCGATAGATTATTAGAACAAATTTTTCATGACTCAATTATTTTTCTTGCCTTACAATAGTGTGAACATGCCTTGACAATAATAAAATACCTTTGAGAGGTATGACTCCGTTCACTGTAAATTGTTTTAACTGGCCTTATATTTTAATTCCAATATTTTATTGGCGATCTGATAGAATCTTTTAAATTCGTTTTTTATTGATTCTCTATGTAAAGATGTTGAGTATAGAGAGCCACTTGATAGAGTGGCAATCCTCAGGTAATGTACATCTTGTTTCCATGTTTTCTCTTGCATTGCTTTTACCTATAGTATTGAATAATTTTTTTACAAAATCAGGAGGGAGCCCTAGATTTGAAAAAAATTACTGTCTGTACCCAGGCCTCCCCTGCTGTCTATGTCGAATGTCGAATTCCAAGATCCAAGATGTAGTTACTTGGCGAATCATCTTCTATCCAAAATCTTTAGCGGAATATCAAACATGAATCGCCCTAAATTGTGCGCATTTAAAATTAAATAGGGGATAGAGACAAAAGAAAATTGTCTTCAAATTTTGAGCCTGACAGTGCCATTTCCGGCCATCTAGAAGTGGTATAGATACAACAAATTGTACCTCAGCCCCAACCATGGTGGGGTTGAATTGGTTTCCATTTCGAATTCCAGGATTCGTCACTGTTTAATGTACTTTCGTGGCGAATCATCTGCTATCTGTAGGTCTTACCTTATTGTTGGGATATGGACAATGGGTAATATTTGGACATGGGGAATTTTGGTAAGTCCAGAGTAGTCCGCGAACGCAAAAAGTTTGGAAAACAATGGTCTGAGTATTATCTGGATCAGCGCAAATAATTTTCTAGACTATCGACAGTGTGACCAGTGATCCGAATCAAATTATGCCAATGTCTGATGGGAAATTATGCTAGATTAGGCCTATGCGAAATGTTAAATTTAGTGGTTATTTGAATAAATACACCACCCACCCTAAAATTAAAGCAACACTATTTTCAATACTATTCTGCCCACGGGAGGTCTTATATATGCCCAACCGAGAGGGGTGGGGATGGGGAAAGTAGCGTAACGCCTATGCTCTCTCTTGCGGCGGTACGCAAAAAACTCGACCACTGGGGGGCCCGAAGGGACCCAAACCCATAGGGTCTTCGATCGACCACCCTGACCCAAATGGTTTTGTAGGACGATTATTATATCCAGTGGCGGATTAAAGACGCCCACTTGGGCCGGGACCCCCTTAGTTTGTCATTATTTATTTTTAAGAATGGAGATCAAAGAAAAAATATACTCAAATTTTAAGTCTGTGAATACCATTTTCCGACCACCTAGAGGTGCCATAATCCTAAATGTTCTAACCCGGCCGCAACCGTGGTACGGCTGAATGGTCAGTGGCGGAACGCCCGTGAGCTCTCGGGGGCGCGGGCCGAATCCCGGCTGAGCACCAGCCCAAATGGGGCCTGATGGGCCCCGAGCTCTTCTTCCCAGCAAGCAATGGTCTATATAGAGCGCATAATGCAGGGACATACGGTATGCTTAGATGCAAAGTCTTGATCAATTGTGCTCTCAGGGGCAAGCTCCGCTCCCAAGTTTAAAGGGATCAATGGGGCCGCCACTGGGGCTCTTCTATTAATAATGGCCCAGCATTCTAAGAAAATTCACATTCTCTATTCAAAAATTAACCATCTTAAGATTATTTGGTTGATATTTAAAAAAAAATACTATATAGCGAAGGACCCTCCTACAGTACCTGTACCACTGGCGGCGGTACAGTACAGGGTGGGCCGTGGCTGTTTAATTTTTGTATGAAGATTTATTTAATATTACATTTTTAAAAATCAACAGATTAGTCTCCTAACATAGAACAGGGTTCCGCAACCGATGAGTCGCATAACCTTGAACAAACGAACTAAAAATATGGTAAACAAAAGTTTGTGAAAGTGTGCCATGTGCGTCAGTTTACCATTACTTTTGTAATGCGTTCGTTATCAACAGTTTTATGTTAAATAATATACTATCAAAACATTTGTACTTCAGGTATGATAAATTGAAAGTTTCAGTTTTGTTCATTTCAACGTGTTAGACTTTCAGATGAAAATAATAACGTCATTTTTGCTCGTCAATTAAATGTGATAAAAACCCATGCATAAATTTCTATGACTAGTCTTTACGCCACTGGAGGCGGTACAGACCCTCCATCTGTGAAAGTTCCTCCCTGCCCCCTCCTCAATGGACCCCCCTCCTCTATTTCAAATTCCTGGATCCGCCACTAATCATATCATTTGTTTTGTCTTAAAACCATAGTACAATGACAAAAACATGATTAAAAAACGAGCACATCTAAAATCCCACAATAAAATTGGTGACCGGGACCCAATAAGGAACCGAGTCCCAGAAAGCCACAGGACCCCCTGCCCCATCGTTACGCCACTTAAGTGGATGGCTGATTTTCCCGACTGGACAAAGTGGGCGGGGCCAGTGGCATCCCAGGATTCTCAAAGGGGATCCAGGGAGCGACTCCCCCGGGCAGGAAACTTCGACAATAATTAGGGATTTGAAATGTTTTAAACGAGTCTTAGACTCTGTAAAACACTGTTTCTCTCCCAACGAATTATGTTTGTTTTCTCGGGGGCAGTAGCCACTGAATGGAGCAATCACTGATTCCGTCATCAGTGGTTTACTCTAGTAGAATTTAATTATTTATAACGGGGGTCATACACAAATAACACTTTTCGTCAATAATTTCGTATTGCTTTCTACATATCTAGTGAAGGATCGTTTATTTGAGTAGTGTATCAATTTTATTCCAAAACAACCACAATAATTGGCTCCTTCGAATAACTACCCCTCAAAAATCCCCTTAAAGTAAAGAAACAAATCATAGGCCTATCTAATATAGTTGGAGAGAATCGCTGTACAATATAATAGCATCAACTGCCAAAACTGATAGACCGTGGTACACAGTTATGTTTATACCTGCGCTTTACAACAACCAAACAATTAAAGTTTAAATAATTTCATTTATCATTATGAAAAGTCAACAATCAGATATTTTCAACAGAGGGGTTTGTTCCAGATGCTCGGATATGCACTTTCCTTCCTTCATTCTCAGCGGTCTGTTAATGGTCATATTTCTTTGTAAGGGGCGTACGGCACCCCTATTTTGTGTAAAGTAATTTTTGTAAAGCTTATCAGAAGATCCCCATTCAAAATATTAAAGATCAATCAAATACAAACTCAAATTATTTATGATGCTAGAGGTTTGCCACTTCACTCCTACCAGGAACTCTTTCCTAGGACTTTTACTCAGTTCGCATATTCACGCCCCCTCTTTCTTACCGGGCTGGATCCGCCCCTGTTGTGTTAATAATCGTGATAGTGAATATGAGGATTGGACTTATAATGATGACGATGGAGTCAATAGTGATCACAATGATAACTCCATGATGATGACATAGTCGGTGGAACAGTTTTGTGAGTGATGGAAGGAAGTGAGCAAATCATAAATGGGACGATGATCAGAAGTATAAGGTACCGTACCGGTAGTCGGAATGCAGGGAGGTGAAAGTCTTAGCCAAAAAAAAAAGAAAGAAAAACAGATTTGATGTTGTGGTGATTTGGAGGGGATCAGGGAGCTTCCCCTGGAAAGTTTGTGTTTGCTAGATGCACAGAAATGCACTTTCCTGTCTCTGGTCAATGTGATGACGTGGACCTAATAGATATTTACAAAAGCGGGGATTTTTGGAAGAAATATATTTATTAATGTGGTATCCAAAGCTGCTGTGGATTGGTTGAATTATGATCAAATTTTATTATTGTTTTACCTGTTCATAGTGTGAGACCTCAGATATTGTTGTTCTTGTGCCAAAATTATGCTAAATTTTCCAAAATTCTATAGCACATAAGCCTATGTTAGATGCTAAATGGGTCTATATTATACCATAGCATAAGTATGCCAATTCTGGTCACTATGACTATTGACGCGTGGTTAAAAGAGTCCTGGATATTTAACTTAGCTTCTTTAAAGCAGATATATATATATATATATATATATATATATCTCTCTCTTATACACATCTATATGTGTATAAGAGACAGCATACATAGAGATATATACAGATATATATATATATATATATATATATATATCTATAAATTTATAACACCGTACCAATTAGTTTGACACAAGTAACCGACTGTGGTAATAAAACAATATTAAGGATTTTGATGTAAACTTTGTGTACTGTTATGAGATTGAAAATCACTGATTGAATATTAGTTAAGTAGGCCGACTCAAATGCCGAGAAAGGATAGGCATGAACTAGGTGATGTTGCATATACAGCAACAGTGGGTTCCCGCGAACCAATTCCACGAAAACTGGTTAATGTACCTATGTTGGTGAATTCTGACTAAAATCCTGCATGTTATAATTGTTTGTACTTGTCAGCATTTTAGAAACGCAGTGTATTTTCAACGGCCGGGTTTTCTATGTTTGAAAAGTGTGTAAAAATGAGAACAAACATTGAGAAAACAATTTTGTCATCATCAGTGTTCAGTAATTGTAGCAAAGAAACTCCCACAGAAGGCGCTATAGGCCTACTCCCTAATTGCAAAAAAAAAAAAAAAAAAAAAAAAAATTGATTTCACCAGCGCCTACTTTCAACTCGATTTTATTCAATAGTCAAAGACTAGTGAAACAGTTATTCTTTTTCACTCTTACACTTAGATGGTAGCACACGTTTATTATTACTATAATAATGATTATTATTATTATTATTATTATTATTAGGCCTATTATTATTAGGCCTATTATTAATGTTGTTATCATTATCATCACTGTGATTTGGATAAGCCTAATATATGATCGTACAATGATAGATATGAAAATACTTTCCAAAATATTATAAATCCAGTACCGGTACTAAAGCATTCATTTAAAGCATGCCAACCATTCGTCTATGTGAATATAGCTATTGTGGTTTGTATCACAGGAATTTAGGAAAGGTACAACACACGGCTGGGTCGCAACTAATGGTGAACGAAGAGGGCGCAATTCAGAGTGACTCAACATTCTGTAAAGATATAGAAAATAAGTAAGCAGGTGTGTTATTTACATTTGATCATTATTATTGGCCACATATCATCACAATGATAATAATGATGATGATGATTATGATGATGACAGTGATTATTTCGAATATTTAAAGCACCAAGCTTATTTGTTACTTATCTTAGGCCGATCTACTATTCATTATTCATAATAAATTATGTTATCAAACAGTAAAGATATAAAAAAATAATGACTAAACAAAATAATATTTAAAAAAATGGGCCTATGAATAAATGAATGAATGCCTGAAAGAAGACAAACGCACGAATAAATGAATGAGTACACACATTATTATAAACAACAAACCTGTCTTGTGGTGCATTATCCATCATTATAAATCGATATTTCAGTGGTTTTGAAAACTGTTTAGATGACTTGCTCTGGTCTTGAATAGGACTCTCCCTCTGAGAAATGGAGGTAAGGTCGACGCTAACCGATTCTCCCGCAGTTAACTCCTCCATGTTTGTGTAGAACCATTGTTGCAATTGATGAGGGAACTCCAAAAGATCAGATTGTGAACACATCTGACCAACGTCTGTAAATATTAATAATATGGTTTTAGTATCAGTCTGTTACAAATAAGTATTATAATTAGCTTTTGCTGAATTCCGATCTATCTCTATATTTATATATACTATATAAATATAGTATATATAAATATAGAGATAGATCTATATATTTATGAATGCTATATATATATATATTTATATATATTGTATAATATATTTTGTAAATATTAATTAAGAGGAATATGCAAAAGTAGAAAAAAGTGGGTATTTTTGCTGTTGTATTGACCAATTTGGCGACTATGGCATTATAAGATATTCTAATCTGATTAGTAGGCCTAGCAACTGATTTTAATCTCAATTTAGCAGCAGTAATTTTAGACGCATACATAAAAAAGATCAATATGATACGCCCTCATCTTAACCATATTTAAACGACAAGACAGGATCTCCTAAGTAATGGGCCTATATCACACCACATGAACATGCTGCATATCAATACACACCTAAACAGGAACCAAGGTAATCCAACTCAACATCGTTTAGTAACTTCGGCATCAAACACTTCCTACGATAGAATTCACATTCACTTGGATATGTTACGTTGTTTGTATCGCAGACGCTGTTTTCAATTGGATACTCAGGTTCTATGCAGAACTCGGCGCATGTGCACGTGGCCTCGTAGTTATCATTTAGTGCGCATATCTCCCCTTGGTTACATTTAATATCATTGCACGGATCTAAAAGAGTTAAAATAAGAAGAGCCAATCAATAAATCGACAAATCAATAAATAACCAACCAATAATCAATCAATCAATAGTGGATCGATCTATCAATCAATAACCAATCGATATTCTATCAACCAATAACTAACCAATCAGTCGATAATTTATCAATAATTCAATCCACCATCGAAAGGTCCACTGGTTAATCCCCATCGTGCTGGGATTCAGAGTTTTGATATTAATTATTAATGAAAATCCAGCAATTTGATCGAATTTTATGGAGTTATACAGGCACAGAGTCGACCAATACAGTGTGCACCATACTTAACATTAGTTATTTAAATAGTTGTTTCTTACTTCTGATAAAACTTTTAACTTGCTTTTCTGCTTCTTTTGTGATTTCCTTTTCAAGTTCCTCATCTTCAATTTCCTCTATATTATAGATCTGCTGTTGTTTGATGTACGTTAACTCATCAAGAACTGCCTTGGCCTGCTCAGAAGATAGCTTTCGCGGTTTCTGCTTCTAAAAAAAAAATATTAAAAAAATAGAAGTATATTATAGTAAATATTTATTGCAAAGAAGGATAATAAAATACTATTTTGTTAGGGCGGGTCCTGGATTTGGAGACATGGGGAACACGCATAGGGGTACAAAGGGTAATTCTAGACGGGTAAGCGGGGCGGGTCGAGAGTAACAGTGTTGAGTATGGAGGCCAAAGTATTGGGATCGAGAGGCGGGTAGAAATAAATGGCACATGGCTGATAACGAGGAAAACAGCTACGGTGAACAAATGGGGTGGGTTTGAGAAAAGCAGTGGTGGGGGTCAAAGGGGACCCATGATCGGGGGGAACATAAAGTAGAGTGGTGGAATTTCGGCAAACAGGGTAGTGGTTTCTATAAATACTCAATAAGTTAATCTTACTTAATTTCATAAAATTACGATTCATGTTTACGGTCTACTAAAAATAATTTAGACATGACATGATTGTTGAAGTATAGGCCTACTGCAATATAAATAGAATACGACATGGCAAACAAGAGCCTGTTGATTTAACTCACATATCAGCAAGATCTAATTAACACCACAATTATTATTATATGTCAAGCCTTTTTTGTAGATTGAACTCATTAACCAGCTCATTATAGAAGTTTTCATGTGGTTTTAAGCGGGTTACATCCCACCGTTACCCATGGTTACACTGCACGTGGTCTCTTTGTGTCATATAAGGTTAGTCATAAAGTTCAGATATATGAACTTTGTTAAAATTAATTGGGTTGGTGATTTTTCACAATTCATGTTTTCCCGTTTCAAGTTTATATTCATGAGAAATTATGTGTGTTAAAATGCCAGTTAAAAAAGTCCTTGAATTAACTAGCGGTAACGTTGTCAGGCCTATTTATAGAAATATATTTAGAACCAACTCAAATTTAAAAGCATAGGCCTACCTGTAAATAAATACTGTTCCTATTCTTTTTATTGGTCTAGACATTTAAATTCAAGGATTTTCGTAGGAAAAATCTGTATAACCATCTGTCTGTCATGAAAAGTCACTGGAATTTAATGAATCTTTCTAATTCTATGAATGAAACATTAAATGCTATTCATATTTTAGTGTCATTCCTAGATACAGACGTAAATGCCATTACATACAGGAAATATTTAATAAATTTAATTTGTGTGTTTTTTTTTTCAATCTATTTTTGTTTTTTCAAGTTAATACTATAGCCTAGTTATGGTCCTTATCTTGTAAAAATATATTTGATTTTGTAAGGAAAATGAAAGTACCGTGCTGAAATATAATGTTAGGTTAATTAATTCATCGATTGAAAACAAGTTGATTTGTTAACCCTGATCGTTGAATAGCACAACATACTCTAGGGTATTAAACCATGATTAAACATAGGAGATATCCTGTCTTGAATCCACGGAGATGAATGCATGTTTCTAGCTGCAATAACAAACAATATGATGACTAATGAAACAAATCACAGGTAATAATAATGCTATACTACACTGCTGCTACTTTTGTATGATCGAAGTCAATGTAAAATAATAGGTTTAGTAGTGACCATTGGAACATCATCTAATTAAATTAGGCCCACTAGTGTAGGCCTCTACTAATCGAAGTGCCAGACAAGTAAATTACTGTACTTAAAGCTCAAAAGACGTCAATTGTTACGATAAGTACAGCTTATTCCAATAAACAACAACGTTCCGCATTCCCAATCTGATCTCTATTGTTTAAATTCATGACGTTTAGTGAGTTTCCATATTTCAACTGAAATCTCCTTCTCTCCCCCCAATATCAAGGGGAAATCTCTCTTTTGCTTTTACACTGAGCTAATCAGTACAAAATGTATAAGTCAAGCATGCTTGATTTATCGTAATCAGTGTATATCCTGACTGTGTGTGCATAGTACAGGTATGTGTATGTGAAATTTGGCAGTTGTAGCAATGTTAATAGGAACTGAGACAACATATATAATTATATATAGTTATGTCAAATAGAAGCAAAAACCAGACGGTAGGAAAAGTAGGAGTTCTGATTATACTCTTTAAAAAAAGACTGAGATGAAAAAGAACTTACTTTATGATGGGCCTATCATTGCCTTATAATTGTGTTACTGTTATTTAGTGCTGTTTTAATACTTGCTAAAATTTACTTTCAAAACTTGATAGAATCCTCACATAATAGCTTACTTCAACTCCAAGTCGTTTACTGGAGTTTCCATAGGCTAACTTTGTCTTAACATTTTATTTGCACGAAGAATATAGTATGGCGAGGAGCCCAAATCATATGTAAGTCAATTTGTTCGCCAATTCAATATCATGATTTCATTTTTTTTAAATGTCATATTTCAGAAAATAAAAGTAGTATACATTGAACATACAATAGATAAATTAAAATAAACTATGGCGAAACAGATAAGCTAAAATCAACGTTATTTTATCAATCTCTTTGAGCTAAACAATACCCCGTGTTTAATTACACAGACATACAATAACGTGTACGATTCATGCCTAACACTCTTTTTAAACAAGGAATATCAATCGATAACTCACCTTTGCAGAAACTATACAAACAAGAAATAACACAACTAATAATTTCATTCTTGAACAGGAACAGGATCTCAACATGATTTTTATACCCACATTAAATGGCAAGCGAAAGGTATGTGCGATCATCAAACAATTAACACGTTGTTTAGTAACACTACACTTACTAGAATTTTAGAAAATTAGCAGTGTGCCCTCTCTTTGTCAAAGTTTTCTAGTCATGCGATTGGTCGAGACACTGAGATGTCTTTATAAGTTATAGAAGAAACCATTGCTGCTAGAGGGTCCGTGATGGTTTTAACTTTCTTTTAGGCCTATACAGCATGAGTAATTTCTCCATGTTTATACCATTGTTTTGCGAGCCACCGCTCGCCAATAGTGATGATTTGGAATAAAAAATGTTATTTTTGACCAATTAGCGCACTCGCCGTCACGAATAAATGGAAATTTCAGAAAAAATTTGTTTATATATTATTTTTATTACGCCCGCCGCTCACATCCAAAATGAGATGTCGGATCACGTACCTCCCCATTGCTACACTGTTTACATTCATCAATACAATTTTATTTTCATTCTTTCCTCCGTCTGGATGTTTGGCAAAATTATATGCTAAATAGGACGATCTTTAAAACAGAATAATTTCGCAAAACAAGGTATTAAATTTGTAATATTTGTTGTTAGACGAGTGTCACTGTAATGAAAGTTCAAATAAATAGTCGTAAAAAAACTAATTAGCAGTAGCACACACATAACAGATCATAGTTGTCGTGCGTCTAAGTACATCATCAACTTAACAAAAAAAAAATTAATCATAAAAGATGACATAGGTATTACTTTGAATATAACAAAATCTTAATTAGGCCAAAAAAAATACTTGTATTAAAAATACTTGTATTACAACACAACAGCAACAATAATTTAAAAAAAAACAACAATGACAAAGCAAAAACAATAAATAACATTAAAATAGCAATGACAACAGCATTATCAATAACAATAAAACACAATATAGAAGTCCAATAACAAACATAACAATAGCAATAACAATACCTCCACCAGCAATTCTAACAGAAGTAGCACAATTGAAGGTTCGTTCGCCAACACTACACTTCAGTGAGACATGGTGTTATAATTTTTATGTAGCTATACAATAGCTGAGCAGGTGCACGGTTACAATAATTGTTGTCTTTGTTTATAGGAAGGTGTGTCTACTTCTGACTAGCCACTGACTGCGGGTGCCGTCACCACACCTACCACACCGCTCCAGCACTTCCGCTTTGACCTTTACTCCAGGGTAAATGCTAAGCGTTCACCATCGTACACCAGAAAAGGCAGGATATATAATAAATTTTTCACGGACTGATGATCATACATAATTTGACACACGCGGAAATGGCTTAATACAGAGATGACGCTTAGAAAGGTTTGTGACAGTAGATAGGCCTATTTGAAACTAAATTTTGTTTTTTTTAATTTTTCGTATCGAGTTGTCTTACCCCATTGGCTCAAGCCTTGGCCGAAGACTCTTGTAGTGTACTTAGACCAGTCATGGACTAGGGAGGTGGTGCTTGATTTCGCACTTGACTGGCCTAGCTACATTGTTTTCGTCGTCAGTTACTACCTCAACGCATTATTTACTGTTGCAGGTATGTGTAATATTGATATTGTTATACTGTAGGTTTTGTCGCTGAACAGTACTGCTGTCTACGAAATTACAAGGTGAATTTAGGATGAATGTATGTACATTGGAATGGTTTGCTGGATTACCAGATCTAATTGCTAATTATGCTTACTTTCACATCGTTCTTGGTGTCAATAGGCTTATTAACTTTTTTCATTGGCCTTGGCCGTTTATTTGCTCGTTTTTACTTCCAGAGAACAGAGATTTATATATTTATTTTATGTATTTTTCCTTAAATCAGTGGAGAAACTTTGTACAGCAATTTAGTATGCTTTTTGTTTATCCTGTCTCTAATTTTTGGTATTGTTTTATCTGTTTGTTTTGTATTTGTTGGACGAAACAAATGAAATGAAATAGAATGGTCACTGTTGTTTATAGCCCTTACTACGTCCAGGGAGATGTACTGTAACGTCTATGACTACTGACAATGCCAATAATGTGAAATATATTTCCTACATGACTCAGGAGTATGATTTAGAACAACAGGACTTATATTCAGTGACTGTACCAACAGATAGAAGGGATCCCCCTGTTGGTCACAACTCAGACCAAAAAAAGATGTTTTGGCGTACATGACGGTCCTGTACATGCTAAATATAAAATCTAGGAACAGTTTGAATTTGGCCCAACATTTCCCAGTTTTCATAGGGTTTTCAGGTTGACTTCGCTTCCAAACCCTCAGTTGGACAGGTTAGTTCTTTTCCCCACCCTCCCCCACATTTTATAAACATCTATTTGAGTATTACTGTAGCTTTAAAGTTATTTTCAATTGCTTCCAGATTGGTGGTTGCTAATTACCAGGCATATTATAGTACTTGACAAATTTAAGATGAAACAGTGCATTTTTCTAGGTGAAGCCTATGTATGAAAAGTAATCAAAATATTGAATAGCTCATTTTTTAATAGTTTGAACTATATTTTTTTTTAAAGCTTTTGGACTGGGGGTAAATAGTGTAGTGGTTAAGATGCTTGCCTTCTAATCCCAGCAATTCCTATCACAGCAGGACTTTTTCTCATGACTAAAAGCAACTCCACTCCCTAAGCCTCATACAGAGACTTCACTGGTAAAAGCATCACATAATTTCATTTATTTATAAGAGGGCCCTGAGTATCAGCTGAACTTCTATCATACACTGGAAGGGTCACCCTCTATAAATATGGTTTAAAAATTGGTGTTCACAAATTCACACTTGGTAATCTTGCCATTTTAAAATAATGATGAATAAATAATTTTATATTGAATGAAACATGGAACAAAACAAAATGTTTCATTCCTATTTTATTATATTCCTCTTCCTATTTGCTGCATATTCATTCCTATTATGGACAAAGTAAGTTGGTTTCTTGACAATCGAAAGCTTATCGTCTTAATATAGGCCTACCTGTACTATGATATAGGAATCCAAATAATAGAAACTTTAATTTCTGTTCAAGATCAATATTAAAAGTATGGACATTGTCACGAGATGCCCTCTGACTGAGAATTATTATTGTATGTATGCATGAATGAGGACTTTGTTATTTTTTTTTGTAAAAGAAGATGGCAGAAATAACATACAGAAGTACATAAAAGAAAACATTAATACCTAAATTTACCTCATATTACCGGCCATATTATTATTCTCTTATAGTGTATACAATTTTTAAAAATTTTATGTTGATTATTTTTGTTTCTGAAAAATACTGAGTATATATGTAGTTCCTCTCTCTACCATGTATTTTATATTGTGTGCTGCCACAGATATAACATTGTTACCTTGCAAACATTCAAATAAGGAATTTATACTTTTTATTACTATTTTTTGTAAGTATGTCAACAAATTAAATAATTCTTTAGAATGTCGTTTTGTCTCATTTTAAATTTTCATGGGATAATGTAATTTATAATCCGATGGGATATTTTGTTTGGTGAAAAAACAGTATTTTTTACTTCCTCCTTCGATATGAATCATTGTTAATATTTGATTTACTTGCTTTTCTGACTCAATGGGCTTTTTTTAATCAGTAGTAGTGATATGAAATCTTGACTGATTTTGTTATGCAAACACATATTTGGAATCGGTAGAAAAGTCCCTCTTCCTATCACTGTGGTAAGGGCAATATTTGTTTGGGGTAATAGGCCAGTAGAATTTTTAATAATTTATAAAGCTCTGCCCAGATTATCAAATTTTCTTTGAAAAAAAAACAAACTGTTGAATGCCCATATATAGTCATGATGTGCCTGTATATGGTCCTGATGATCATGTGATGTCATGACCATATTTAGGCATGTCACATTGTTTTTGTCAAATAAAATTTGATAGTCTGGACTTGGTAGCCTTTTATTTTAAGGTTGTCCAGGATGTGGTTGTGCTAATGTAAATTGGTATAAAGGAAAATGATCTTGGGGGTTCCTCTTGTGATTATTATACATAAAATGCCAATTATTTATGATCACCACAACATACAATGCAATGCAACTACCTCCCCAGTCCTCAAACCTGTTTTTAAAGCATGTGGAAGTTGAGTTGGTAAAATTCCATCCTCATACTTACTGTACATTCCATCTATTTTGGGGATGTGTTTTTAAAATAATCTGATACCAAGTTTTTTCTTTCTCCTCTTGTATTTTTTTATTTTTGAAATAGTTGATGAGTCACAATCAGATGTGCCCATTTTACTCAACATTTTTGAAATTCAAGTGCTGTAATTTATGACATTTAAACACATGTGTAACCCTTTAAAAGTCACTCATATACACATAGCATAACATACATGTTTTTGTGATTTCATTATGTACACAAATGTTGACGTTTTATTATCTTGTTTATATAATGATAAGTTATGATAAATGTAATGTATATTGAACACATGATTGATAGCCAAAAATAAATATATTATACCTATGTACATATTTAAGATTCTGGGGGAATTCATGATCATTTTTTTCTTACACCCCCAACAGCGAATTTGTAATAGTAATGTAAACCACTTTCAGCTCCATGTCTGATGGTAGAATATCTCTTTGTTTAAGGCTTCCTGTATTCCAGCATTTATTGATGCAACTGATACCACTCATATTGCTTTCATTTCTTATTCAAGTTTTTCAGAAAACATTGTGGTTTTCAAATCTCGTAACCAGTACAATATAATTTTCCTGTTTGTGTATAGAATTTTTTATTAAATGTGTTTTTGTGCTGCCTAGACAGCAGAATGTTCCAGGCTCAAATCTGAATAGGGAACCTTTAAAATTTATAAAT